TTTTTGTAAAGACATGAGGGTCAGCAAATAACGACAAAAAATGTACCCCCCTCCCCTCCTTTAAAGCCTAATAGGAAAGCAGAGATTGGACAGGAAACGATGAGGGGGGAGCAAGTTTGGTAAACAGATGAATTTGAACTTACTTCACTCACATATATACGTGTAGCACAGCACAAGTCATGTTCACTTACTAGACAGCTCCAACATGAATTGCCATTATTAATAGTATAAAATGATTTATCTTAAACACATTTTAATCATGCTTGGCTCCATTGATTCTTCCTCATCACCGATGGACAGAGTAGCCAGCGTCAATACATGATGTGGGAAGGATGAAATCAACTTCATTTGAGATTCATGGGGGTGGTCAGTGGGAGGTTTGTAGGCGAGAGCAACATGCCCGTTTGTCATATGGCACACGCACGCAGACCGAAGCTGCATCATCCCACAGACAGACCCTGAGGAAACATCTTTACCACACAGTCCTTAACCTTCTCCGAGCAGCTCTAACAGAAGTCGACAGCTGTTAGGAAGTAAAGGCACTCGAGTATGCCCCAGAACGGCAGATTTTTTCAGCAGCGGTTTAGTTTGGCGTTTTTAAGCAAAATATAATTTAAAATAATCCCTGCAGGCAAGACACAATGCGAGAATAAGCAATGAGTTGTTTGGATTCCTCGCCGTTTCTTTTGGCTGAAATAAAACTGGTGCAAATAAAATCTGTAAGTCGAGCACATTCAGATCAGGAATAGACTTTTTCAATATTCCTAATTTGTTCTGGCTGGCCAGGAAATAATTGAAATTCCAACCAGATTAAATAAAAACGCATCCTCCAGCTCATGAGGATGGATCAGGGAGGGAATACAAAGCTGTACAAGGGCGTGCATCTAATGAAGAAGAGTGAGAGATCGAACACTAAATTAAAGCTACATTTAATCCATTTCCATCGCAATGAAACTTCATCCGAGTGGACAGTTACAGATTAGCGGACTTGCAAGGGCCTCAATTAAGGCACTGGGTTTCTTGCACAGTGGCAGCTGTGTACTCCAGGATTTTCCATCTCCAGAGCAGATGGGTTGCCATATTAATCATGACGCTGATGATCGCTATCGACTAAGGGGCCTGATCTGAGAAACTGATCATAAAACAACACCACCATCATTCTGCCATCTGTTTCCACAGACTGGTGGCAGTGCCAGCCTGCGCAACTCTAAACCTCAACCAATGCCGTCATCAGACATCATGCAGACTTGCTCACAAAACAGATGCCCGATTTCGTCATATTTGCTGCTAACTACATCCCGATTAATGATCAATATTATAGCGGTACCAAATTAACACTACACCACAGTGGATGCATTTCATGTTGGCAGCAGACACAGACAAAAGCCTTACAGACTCATTATCACGGAGACATCGGTCGTGCAACGGGCACCAAAACGAAGCCAGAGACACAATGAGCTTGAGTAACAAAGATGTCGGGAACAAAAGAGGCGGCAGGTCTTCACCCCAGCATCAGCCAGTGGAGAGCTCCAGCTGACGCCCTTTAAACAAGAGGTCACCCGGCAGAGAATAGAGGGCACAACCTCTGAGAGCCCCTGACCACCCCCTCACCTCCATCCCTCCAGGGAGGGGATGAGACAGCATCTCTTGGGGACTGTTAAGCCATCAAGCGACCCTTTTAAAATTCAGCCGTTCAGAGAATAGGCGTCCGAAAGTAGATTTTGACTCAGCTAAGTCAAACCCCAGGCACCCAGTGTTGTTTGAGCATCTGATTCCGAGCAGCAGGGGTTGTTTGCGGGCCGGGCCGCCGTGATGTGGTACAGACTACGTGAGTGTCCTGACTGCGCTGGATGAATAAGTAGCACTCGCAGTGTTTGGGTGGAGGGGGGTTGGGGAAGCGGATGAAATTGTTGGCAGTCTGGAGGCAGAGCAAGGGGCAGCGCGGCTGGTGGGACGCAGTGCGGGCCGCAACGGCGAGGTCAGCAGACAGATGGGAATGGAAATGAGTAGGACGTGCGCTCATTTTAATCTTTTCCCCACAGCTGATCCAGGCATTATAAATGCAAACTCGCACGCACATGTCGACCTCTATCCCCCAGGCGTGCGCATTTATTATGGCCGTGGCCACCTTGGGTCGGACACTCAGTTGATTGGTTTGGTCTCAGGTTGGGAGTCATCAGTAATTTGATAAAGTGAGAGAGCAGAACAAAAGAGAGTTTGATATCCCCCCTCTGCGTCCAATTTATTACACAATACTATTCTCACTGGAGCCTTACTTCATTTCTGGCAGGACAATGCACATGCACTTGAAATATGTGGTTTAAGGGAAAGTTGAAACTCCAAATAAAACACCACAACACAACCATTATGTGCTGTATTGATCTGTTTAAAACTGGAGCAAAACACCCATTCAGTCTCACAACTATTAAAAAGCTTCAAATAAGTAAAATAATACAATACTAAAACATAATAAAGAGAATTATACAAATATTAATATATTACATTTAAATAAGCTATAATAAAATGTTTTTAATAAATTTAAATAAATTAAATAGCATAACATTTGGCAAACTGATGAGAAAAAAATTTAAGTCTCAAATTGAGTCTTGGAAATAAATGCAAAAACCATTTCACAACTCCTAAAAAGCTTTAAATAAGCAAAATAAATGTAATATTTTTTTAATAAAAACAATAATAATAAATAAAAAGTTATGATAAAAACATTTGTAAAAATTAAGATTTTTTTTAAGAGGATAACACTGGGTAAATTGATGAAGTTTTATGTAAATCCATGAAAATTGGGGGGAAAATTAACACCAACACAAATGGTAATTTGATGTGATGTTTTGCTACCGATTTATTTACAATGTATTTTTCTGTCTTTTATCAAACAACCATCTGTCCGGTTGGAGAACCAAGGGCCACACGATTGGCCGGACTGTCTGAAAGGAGAGGGGGTGGGATTGTTGGTTGACTGGCTTTGGACAGAGGTCACATGTCACGGTCCTTTGACGGCACGTCAAGGCCCTGGTGGACAGGGGCGACAGATTCTTAATGAGAACTCGCCACCCTCTCCCAGCTATATCCCCCATTATGTCAGCCAGACCAGACAAAGTCTGGATGCTGTTTTAAATTAATTCAGCTCTGAGATATTCCACTCTTGATTTCCCTCAGATAAAAAATAAAGCAAACTCTGTGTACTCTGTACTGCTGTGAACAACTTTATTATTACATAAAGGACTCAAAAACCGTATAACCATGGCGACCAGCCTCTCATCAAAGTAATATTTGGAAACAGTAATTCTCTAAAAAAACAGTCTCTGCAAGAGACAGTATGAAGCAAATATTCTCAGCAAGACTGGAAAAGATTTTAAAAGTTAAAGGTTTAATTACAAAAATAAAGGGGAAAAAGTAATAAAACAAACGTCTCAATTCAGCTGAGGTTAAGTGTAAGGTGGCAACCTGTTGTTTCTCTTTTTTGTTTTTTCTCCGCAAGCAACCTAGTCCAGTGATGTACAGGTCCACCGGTACACAGCTCCCCACGGACCCCGCCAGCTTGCTAACTGGGACACTTCTGACAGTGAACCACAGAAACTGCACAAAATCCACCCTTCCATGCATTCAGCTACTGTACTGTTAGGACAGCCCATATCGTTATGATAAAATATGCTTAATGTGCAATTTAAACAAATATAAGAGATGCACACAAGGTATCATCTAATCATAACAATAGTTGCACAGAAAAGCCAGACTTTCTTTACCCTAACCAGGCACATTGCAAATTGTAAACTAGCCCTTCAGCCTCCATGTGACAAATATAAGTCAATACTTTTCCCATAGAGAAGCGATCGTTAAATATACATGATGCTGCATTTCTGAAATGTCCCATGTCTCTCACATTTCCCACAGTGATGAAACTGCATTTGCCACACCATGCATCCCAAGCCTGCTGAAGTGACACCATGGTTACACATACATATATGTGTGTAGACCCATTAGCACGATCACACTCAACAGCTGCTGCGTGGAGAGAGCAGCCAACCCGAGACTCCCGTGCTTTTGTCCGCTCGCCATATCTCTGACCCTGGAGTGGAGCCCGATCAGACAGTGGGAGACCCAAGGCCAGCGCTGACCCAACACCAACTGCTTTTTAGAGAGTGACCTCAACCCCAACCTGCCCTCCCCCCACCCCACCAAAAACACACACACAAAACAATGTCCTACACAGCACTCTTACCCTCCTCCTTCACCTCAGAGCCCATTACTGGCTTCCCCAAGCCTCCCTGTCTATCTCTGGCTCCCATAAAATACATAATTGAGCCTCCATTTATCATATGCAGATGCCCCTGAGTGCATCCAGAAGAACAAGACAAATGCACTGGGGGGTGGGGGGGCTCAGCTGTGCACCTTCATTTCAATACGCTCAAAAATAGCATTAGAAGTTGATTTTACAGGATATGATTAAAAACATGCAGTGATTCTCAACCGGTCTGTTATGATCTCAAAAAGTAGGGAAAGAATAATGCTAAATGCAGCATAAATAGGCTTTAAAAAGGGTGGAAGATGAAGTTTGAGCATCAATCAAAAATCCAAATGAACTAAATGTCAACATGGACAGGTTGTGATATTCAAAAACAAAGGGCAAAACTGAAAGGTAACAGAAAAGAATTACATAGAATACAATAAATATGTGATGAAACGTGAAGTATGGTTTGCGTTATCCACAGTGTGTTCCGTGTGGCGAAATTGAAGGAAAATGTGTTTGACATAGTTTTGTTTACTAACCAGGTGTAATAGGTGTTGTATGATCAAATAGCGCCCAAGACAAAGAGAAAAATCAATACAAGTGTATGAGAATCAATGAAGTAAAGCACACATTATACTTTAATGATCACATTACATTAATTATATTTATCATAAATATTTGGGAGTAAAATATTCATAATTCTGGAGTACTACAGAAGAGATTCAGATTTATAATAATGCTATTTTGAGCTCACCTTGTAAGATGTCTTGTGCTTGTTCCCCAGGTCAAATTTTCCCTTTAACTCATTGAGGAGCTGCTGCAGTGTGGTGCTCTCCTTTTTGTCACTATAGTCTTGATCCAAAAGAATATAAGCCCTCCAGTTGGACGAGTCGAAGCCCCAGTGACAGGTTCTGTTCTCCTGCCTTTTATGACTGTGCACCACGAACTTATGGGTCGGGAACATGAGCCTGCAGTCCAAGCACTGTATGCACGCCGCGCTGGGGCTCGTGTAGAGCTCTGGCACGAACAGGCCCTTGCACTTCCCGAAGCATTCGTGATAAACTTTGAAGCTCTTCTCCGTCCGCTCCAGCTCGATGGAGCACGACAACTCTTTGTCGGCGTGCGGGGGGAACGTGCCGCCGAAGATGAGGGCATTGCAAAGGCGCTCGGCGTCCGTCTGGGTGATGAGTCCGCAAGAGGGGGCCGAGAAGGGCAGGATGCCCATAACTTTGAGGATCTCCAGCTGGTCCGCCGTGCACCTGGAGCAGTAGATGTGGAGGTCGTCGCACACCGAGTTGATCTGCTGGAGGGAAAAGTCTCGCAGTACGCTGTTGAGGATCTGCGGCAAGCAGAGGCGCTTCTCGCCGCCCACCACGAAGCACGAAATGGTCTCCCGATCCAGGACCGTCTCGCACCTCTCTGTGGAGCGGTCGGACGGGATGAATAGGGGCCCCGGCATGACCGGGGGCGTCTGCGCCGGGAGGTTCACCATCACCTCAGTGCTCTGGCCGTCCTTCTTGAACAGCATGTCCTGCTGCCACCGAGCCGAGAAGGCTGCCGGACCGCCGAGAGAGATCTTGGAACTCAAGTGAAACTGCTTGAGAGTTTGCTGAAGTCCTGGATGCTGCTGAAAGCTGGAAGGAGCCTCCATGTTTAAACCTGGGCAGTCTAATCAGAACAGATTCAATGAATGTGAACGAAAAGAGTCGCAACAGTCCATGTCAGTTCGGAAAGCGTAAAACACCGCCTTGTAATCCATTCAACTGTTTCATGTTCAAATCTTAAGTCGTACCAGAAAGAACTTCCGAGCGAGGAGAAAATCCTCCGCAAAGTCTAAAGTTTTGATCGAAATGTAATTCTCAATCCGACTATATAACACACTCTGTGCAACTCAAGCGCAAAATGTGTGCCTTGTGTAAAGCTCGTCGGCGCAGTTGCCTCCGCTTTACTATGAGAGTGTGCGAGTCTCTCTCACTCCCTCTCTCACTCTCTCACTCTCTCTCTCTCTCTCTCTCCCCCTCAGTGTTTGTTTGTGTCTGGTTCAGTCACTGAATCCCGGCCAAGAATGTGACTGACTCCCCGGGCTGGCTGTTCCATGAGAAGCTCTCCCTCCCCCCGCAGCCCCAGCAGCTGCAAAAGCGGGAACACAAACTACACGTAAACCATTGCAGCGGATGGAGGAGGGGTGGAGTTTACTTACAAGGGTTATAGTAAATTTTATTAACAAACTTTAAAGGTCACGAACATTACCACATTAATAGCAGTAGTTCATGTATATTTTAATATATTAATCAAAGTTTAGTGAAAATAATGCAGGCTACATTAAATAATAATGTGCTTAGAATGATAGGCTGCTTTGAGCGCTTGCACATAATTCCGCTTATTTACCATATACAATATTGATTTTAAGTAGATTAGGCTAAAGTTTCTACTAAGAAACTATTATTACTACGTCATTATTATTAGGCTATATAACACTCACCTAAAGGATTATTAGGAACACCATACGAATACTGTGTTTGACCCCCTTTCGCCTTCAGAACTGCCTTAATTCTACGTGGCATTGATTCAACAAGGTGCTGAAAGCATTCTTTAGAAATGTTGGCCCATATTGATAGGATAGCATCTTGCAGTTAATGGAGATTTGTGGGATGCACATCCAGGGCACGAAGCTCCCGTTCCACCACATCCCAAAGATGCTCTATTGGGTTGAGATCTGGTCACTGTGGGGGCCATTTTAGTACAGTGAACTCATTGTCATGTTCAAGAAACCAATTTGAAATGATTCGAGCTTTGTGACATGGAGCATTATCCTGCTGGAAGTAGCCATCAGAGGATGGGTACATGGTGGCCATGAAGGGATGGACATGGTCAGAAACAATGCTCAGGTAGGCCGTGGCATTTAAACGATGCCCAATTGGCACTAAGGGGCCTAAAGTGTGCCAAGAAAACATCCCCCACACCATTACACCACCACCACCAGCCTGCACAGTGGTAACAAGGCATGATGGATGCATGTTCTCATTCTGTTTACGCCAAATTCTGCCTCTACCATCTGAATGTTTCAACAGAAATCGAGACTGATCAGACCAGGCAACATTTTTCCAGTCTTCAACTGTCCAATTTTGGTGAGCTCTTGCAAATTGTAGCCTCTTTTTCCTATTTGTAGTGGAGATGAGTGGTACCCGGTGGGGTCTTCTGCTGTTGTAGCCCATCCGCCTCAAGGTTGTGCGTGTTGTGGCTTCACAAATGCTTTGCTGCATACCTCGGTTGTAACGAGTGGTTATTTCAGTCAAAGTTGCTCTTCTATCAGCTTGAATCAGTCGGCCCATTCTCCTCTGACCTCCAGCATCAACAAGGCATCTTCGCCCACAGGACTGCCGCATACTGGATGTTTTTCCCTTTTCACACCATTCTTTGTAAACCCTAGAAATGGTTGTTCGTGCAATCCCAGTAACTGAGCAGATTGTGAAATACTTAGACCGACCCGTCTGGCACCAACAACCATGCCACGCTCAAAATTGCTTAAATCACCCTTCTTTCCCATTCTGACATTCAGTTTGGAGTTCAGGAGATTGTCTTGACCAGGACCACACCCCTAAATGCATTGAAGCAACTGCCATGTGATTGGTTGATTAGATAATTGCATTAATGAGAAATTGAACAGGTGTTCCTAATAATCCTTTAGGTGAGTGTATGCTGTGCTCAAAATGTCTTATTATTATCATCAATGTTGAAAACATTGAGCACTTTCGCTGCTTAATATTTTTTGCAGAAACCATGATCATTCTTTGCATCTTTGATGCAAAGAAAGTTCAAAAGAAACATTTACTTAAAAGCATATTTTTGGTACCATGCTTTATTGTTTTACTGTGTCTTTTCTTAATAAAGGTATCAATTTCTTGTAACAGCAACAAACAATTCTTACTGACTGCCAAACTTCTTATCGGTAGAGTTTACGTTTCAGACAAAATTAACACTTTAAATGACTTTAATTAGCGGTAGCTTTAAACATTGTTTGGAATGTTGTATTCCCATTGGTCAATCGCATAGAATGATTTCTGAAAGATAGTGACACTGAAGACTGGAGTAATGGATGAAAATTCAGTTTTGCGATCGCTGGAATAAATTATATTTTAATATTAAAATAGCCTAGAAAGGGTGAAGGCTAATTAAATTGTAGGTTGATTGAATTTTCACAATGTTACTGTTTTTATGCAGTCTTGATGACAGTGGCGGGGCCAGGCTTTTTTCAGGGGTGGCCAGGTAGGGCCAGCAATTAGTCTGGGCTGGCACAAATCTTCATTATTTCAACATAAAAATTGGTTTGACTACTGGACTGTTTTAGTGCCTACAACACAACTGAATACAGTAACTTTGTATTTAATTGAGATAGTAGCCTGAATTAGATAATGGAATACTGAGTGAATTTGATCATTTTTTATTTTTATTTTCTATTTTGCACCTCCATGCATATTAATAAAGGGGTTCCTCCCACTATAGCTAAAGTTCAACTTGCTCAGTCAGCGTTCTGGTTCTCAAAACCCCCCAGCTTGTTCTCCGTTGTTGCATCTTCATGGATAAGACATGCAGATAACTACTGTAGTCCAAAGATTATCCAAAAGTTGTCTTTCAAAAACTTGCAAACGAAAAAGTAAACTGTATTAGTTGTCAAAATAAATAATTGCAACTATCATAGGCCTACCTAAATTAAACTCAATACAAATGGAAAAATTTGTTCCCTTTTGAATCCCCATGTGCAAGAATGTGAATAAGGGCGGAAGTCAACAGCACATAAAGGCCAGAAAATATGTTATTTAAAGATGTTCCATTTTTTGTTTGTACTTTACAAATTAATGCAAAATTAGAGCCTATCTTCTAGTTGCCTGCAAATGCACATTGCTTACATGTATTTGTGCATTAAAAAAATTGCATAGCTTCAAGCGTGTGCCTTGATCTCACATACAATATTTTAGTGCAGAGACGACGCATAGCCTATATAACAAAATCATGCAAGCACGCGCGAGAAAATTCGTTTTTGTGAGTTTTACTGACATGTAGCCTGACAACATCTCATCTGACCGCAGATGGCCTACTGAATAAGGACAACGCATTTTTCTCAGCATCTGACAAATCACCATTACACACATCTTTCAAAATAAAAGTGGCATCAGAAAAACAAAAAATTACATTTGTTGTTGTTTCTTTGACTGCGCACAACGCGACTCACTCAAAACGGCCTTGCAACCCACCAGTTGAGAAACATTTACGCTATAGATATAGCTACTGTTCGCAGTTCCCTGCTGTTGCTAAAGCTCATTCTGCCCCTGTACCTTTTCCGCGCTCGTTTGACTTGCGCCTGCAGGCCATAAGGCAAAGTTGGAGTGCGCGTCTGAAAAATAGCCCGTTTTTTTTGTGATCTTAAAGGGTTAGTTCACCCAAAAATGAAAATTATGTCAGTAATTAATCACCCTCATGTTGTTCCAACCCCGTAAGACTTTCGTTCATCTTCGGAACACAAATTAAGATATTTTTGATGAAATATGAGAGCTGGCTCACTCCTTCATAGGCTGCTAGGTAATTGATATCTGCCAGCCCAGAAAAGTTAGTAAAGACATCGTTAAAATAGTCCGAGTGACTACAGTGGCTCAACCTAAGCTTATCAAGCAACAATAATACATTTTATGCGCAAAAATAAATAAAAAATAATGACTTTATTCAACTATTCATTTTCTTCTGTGTGGGCCTCTGAGTGAGTTCATGTAGTGTAACAGCACAGCACTTCTGGGTTGTACATCAGAACGTAGGCTCACTATTTGCGAGGCTGTGAGAGGTAGTGAAAGTGTAGGTCTCATTTCTTGGTTTCATGTTGAAAGGGTGTTTGTTGTGAATATGTATATCTGGTGATTTTATTCATACATTCTTTGTTTAGCTCACTGGCAGCATTTAAATACATGGCCACCTGGCTGTATATGAAATCTCACCTTCAGATAAAAGTTTATACATCACATACAAATTTGGATGGGACTGAAGTTGTTGCTAAGCGTTAGCTTATTAGGTTTATGTTGAAATTAAATTAAATAAATGTTTGCATCACAGGCGATATGCAAGTTGCCCTTTTAGGGGTATAAAAATAGACTCGGTGGTCTACAGACTTTATACTTTGTGGCCTGTTTTAGAAAATAACTGTAATACTTAATACTCTTAAATAAAAAATTAAATTCAATCATTCAGTCATTAATCATTTAGCTAGCTATACAAAATTCAGTTTTATGTCAACAATACATGGATATTTTGAGGCAATTTCTGTCAACACTTTCTATGGGAGAAGTGTCAGACCCCCTTCCATGAAGCTACGCGCCCTCCAACTTAAAAAACAAATGTGATGTTTGTTTGTGTGTATGAATAAAATATGAAACCTTGTATATATATATATATATATATGCATATATATTTTTTGTTGAGTATCATTTCATATATCAGTCTTAAAGCTTATATTGAATATAATTCAATGTTAATTGAGAGATAAACAAATAAATGTTCCCCAAAAGCCTGTTGTGTCACATTTGACATTTACATTAACATGAAACAAATGTAAAAAAATAAATAAAATAAATTACCATTAAAAATGATGTATGAATAAATCAAGTAAACCCAAGTTGCTTTAGAAAAATCATTAAAGATTTCACAGCAAAAAAGACTTTAATTGATAAAAAAGTATGAACTATCAATCCGATGGCAGAAGGCATAAAGTAGATTGTGTACAACAGGTTTTTCAGCAGTTTTGGTCGTGTTGGTCATTTATATATAGGCCCTACAAATTTGCATATTAAATATGATACGGTAATATACTTCGTAGAGAGGCACTAAACTATTGTTTAACAGAATTTTAAAAAGAATGTTTACTTTAAGTTAAATGTTTAAAAAAAATTGGCTAAATGTTGTAAAATGCTTTGCCAAACAAGCATTCTGTTTTCAATGACTTTATAGTTTATACCCCTAAAGGGTTGACGTATCATGGGGGATACAAACATAAAAAAAAAAAGTGTCCTGTTTTAAAACAAAATCATGGAATTGCATTATTTGTGTCCTAACAAGATGGAAAATAGCATTAAATTAATTTTCTGATGTCTCTTTATTCTTGCCCTTTTTATGGTTAACAACATTAAAAAAATCCTACCAACCCCAAACATTTGATCGGTAAGTTATTCAATTCTTGTTTACGGTTGTATATCAGTAATGTCAAATTGCACTCATGCTGTAGGATTGAACAGTTTTGGACAAAAAACAAGTTATGACAAACCTGACTCAACAATAAACATTGTATTTCAAAACATCATTTTGACCAATGTTCTAAAATCTAAGAGCACAGTTTAGTAAAGGCATAACTCATACTGCTTTGTTTAGATTGGGTCATTTGGGTAACATTATAACAGCCTAATTTGTTTTTCATGGAATATAGAAAATCGCAAGCATTTGTCTAATGGTTAATTTTGGCACATATGCCTGAAGTGGGGTTGCGTGAAATCCAACACTATCATGAATGCACAGTTTGAGTTGGCTTCAAATACCTGTCACAATACAGCCCTCTTTCACTCCACACATACTGTAGGGTGATGTCTGAAATCAAAGATAAATATATAGGTGAAAGTAGGTTGGGAAAATACATTTGATGATAAATGTAAAGGAAACATGGTCAGTATTGAAATTAAAAACGTGGGAAATTAACAGTGTGAGTTGGCAGTGACACTACAATTACATTTTTAATTGGGAAATATAAAGAAAGTTGTTGTTTCAAAGGAATAAATTAGAACGGTCATCATTTACTCACCCTCATGTTGTACCACATCCACTCACAAAGTCAAATTAGAAGTATCATAATGAAAGACCTAAATGATTTTCCAGTATGTCAAAACAGCTGTTAAAAGTTATGGCAGGAAAAGTGCAATCAAATTGTCCATCCTTGACAGTTTTTCAACATTGTTTGTACGATTCTCAGCCACTAGGGGGCACTACAAATCAGCACACATTATGTTTCAACTTAGGGAACCATAAAGATAAACAAAAACATATATTTACACAATTTTATTAAGTCCCACAAAAAAATAAAATAAATACAGAGCTTTTCTGCTTTAAAATATTAATTACCCATAATCTTATTCCTTTTGTCAAGTAAATATTAATAGCATCAATTTTCCAAGATTCTACACCCCCATCAAATAATTAAACTGAATTATAACAAACTAAGCTGTAAATAAAAACAAAAGCGTTTGCTAAAAGGTGCAGTTTAGCTCATATACAAAAGGACATCAACAACATTTTTATGATTGAAAACGGTTCGTTTGCAGCAATATGGCTTATTTGTACAGTCAAACTGCAGTTGGAATAGTAGCCAAATCCTTTAAATGAACATTTGCACTTCAGGAATTCAGTGTTGAGTTCCCTAAAAAAAGGTGCATTTTTGTTCCTTTTTTAATATCAATTTCTATAATTTCATGTGAATGCAGAATTTGTTCTAAAATAACAAGCTTACATAATTTCCTATGAGTTTTAAGAATATTTGAAATTGCATTTTAATTCAAAAAGTCTTAATTTTTCACCCTTAAAATACAATATATCTAGATAAAAAGGGGCAAAGTTAATTGCAAACGGAACAGACAGTGACACATTGTTAATGAAAACATACTGAAAAAAATAATTATATAACTAATTGGATTAATGGTACTGAATAAATTAGTTACGCAAATTAGTTGGAATTACATCTATTATATACATTCATTTTGCATTCCTGCAAAATTGCCCACAGAAGCACAACTGGTTCAAATGTATTATATATATTCAGAGTGCAAAACTATAACATTCAGATTTAGGAAAACACGTAAAAAGCATTTTCCAAAAAACAGCAACTAGCGTTTGGCATTTCAATCATATTCTCTAATAAGAATTGTTTTAATTTTTTGCAATGTACATTGTATAGTTCTTTGGAAGTAAACAGTGAATCTCTATCTTAAGAAACACGCTGTGGCATTCATATCCCTCTTCATACAGTTTTAAAAAACAAATAAATTACTGTAATATCCTTCTTAGAATATTGATAGTTCTGATTTTTTTTTTGTATAAAAAAACACATTCAAGTAGGCTTTAGTGTTTTGTCCAAGAAAAATATTGACAGTGCACATGAATGTACCCTATTTCATAAATTGGCAGATTTAGAGATATATTTATAGCTCTCACTGAAACTTTCTGCTTTTGCACAGAAGAGTCAACATTTCCCAAGCAACCCACAGATGCAAACACTTGAGAGAAATCCAGTGATTGAATGATTACACTGCTTCTGTGGGTAGTTGAGGGGGCTTGTCCTCATACTGTGGTGGTGGGGTCAGTGGCTCAATGACCACCCTACCCTGTCCAGGCTTTTGGATATCCAAACGAATATCCTTGACGTGGAGCTTCTCTGACTTGATCCTGCGCACTCGGAGAGGTCTGAGGAGGCGGCTGGCCCTGCTACCGGTGCGGGTGGGCGCCGCAGGCTGGGGTTCGGGGCCAGGAGTCAGCTGAGGGGCCTCTAGGCCATTACCTTCTTTCGGTTGCTGGCCTTCATTTTCAACGGCACCAATCAGATCTTCGTACGAGGGCAGCAGGTAACTCTGTCGCAAGTTGCTCTGTCGAACAGGGTACCGTCCGCTGGTGACCGCCTCCTCATAGGTGGGGACGTCAAAGCTGGGTATGGGTTCACTTGATCTAATATTTACATAGATATCATGACATGAGTTACATGCAGGTAAACATAACATATAGTCAATAAGTCAAAATGCGTCACTTAGATGGATTTGAACAAAGGGAACTAGGGATGCACAATATATCCGTACTGATATTAGAGATTAAAAAAAAAAAACCTTGAGTTATTATTAATCATTTATATATACACACTCAACCTTTGGGATTGGTAAGAATTTTTGGTAACACTTTAGTTTAGGGTGCAATTCTCACTATTAACTAGTAGCATACATATTACTAGGATATTGGCTGTTTATTAGTACTTATAAAGCACATAGCATATTCTACATCCCTAATCCTACCCAATACCTAAACATTACTACCTTACTAACGACTAATAAGCAGTAATTAGGAGTTTACTGAGGCAAAAGTCGTAGTTAATATTGAGTTAATAGTGAGAATTGGACCCTATTCTAAAGTATGACCGAGTTTTTTTTTATGGTTTCGCTCACCAAAGCTGCTTTTATCTGATCATGAATACAGTAAAAAAGTTGTGAGAAATATTATTAAAATTTAAAATAACTGTTTAACATGTATTTTATTCATGTGATAGCAAAACTGAACGGTCTCACATGATCCTCAAGAAACATATCTTATTATTATTAATGTTGAAAACAGTTGTGCTGCTTAATATTTTTGTGGAAGCAGTGATACATTTTTTTTTTTTCAGGATTATTTGATGAATAGAAAGTTCAAAAGAACCGCATTTATTTTTAAATAGATTTTTTACAGACCCCAGAACTTTAATAACACTGTTAAATTTAATATTTAGCAAATCTCAAAAAAATAAATAAAAAATCTGGCATTTCAATGACAGATTTTAAAATGCATTTAATTCTAATATCAGCCATTTATCAGTTATCGTCTATGAAAATAATTATTGACGTATCTTAATCGGCCAGGATTGTAATATCGGTGTATCCCTATACAAAACCTGGACATCAATCTTTTCATCATCTTTAAACAGAGAAGGTGTGTGTAATGAGTATAGAGCAGTACTCACTCATCATCCTGATCTCTATGGACATTATCCACATAATCAGCACGGCCTGCACCTGCAGTTTCCCTGTGTCTCGTCCGCTTCCTGTTCCTCACCCCGAGACATACGGCAAGGAGCAACATGACAACACCAGCTCCAACCAGCACAAATGCAACAGACGATGTCTTTCCTAAATCGCCACTGGCAATTCCATTGTTCGTGGTTGTAGAATTGTGCAACTGTGTCACTTCAGAAGGGACTATGCTCCACACGATCATGACAACACCAAGAGCCACCAGGCCCACCCCCAGTGCACAGAGAGCATACTGGGAGCCTGAACTACTGCCCTCCTGACTGGTGGGTGAACGCCTGCTTCCTGAACACAGAGGCTGCCCACTGGCACACATAGCTGTAAATGATCCTCTCGAATATTCACAAACATACACTAACCCCGGAAGGGTGGTCCAAATGTGGAGGATGAGAGCAGAACTGTGACATGAAAGAAAAAAGAAAAGAAAAAAAAGAGACAACCGTTATAAACATTTCATTGAAGGGGAAATACTTCCTGGAAATGACTGGGGACAAAAGAAAGGGGTTTCTATGTTTCAGCTCATTGGAGAGAGAGACTCTAAAGCAAAAGATTATCCATTTGGCTCAATGCCGCTCTAGAGGTCAAATGGTAGCATTCCAGCATGTCATTGAAAGAATTACCATGTATGGACATTGTACAACTTGCTACAACTCTTAATACGAATTTTGTGCTGCTTTCAAGTCATGTCAGTCTCGTATTTGCGAAATGACCAGGGAAACCCAACATGAGGGATTTTATGGGAGTATTCAGACCTGACAATTAAAGAATCTAATTGGTATTGGTCATAATCTCGAGACGGCAGGTTATGTTATTGATCTTATTGTGGCCGATTCATCCTTGAAAACGTTTCTTTTCTTTTTTTTTACCTCAAAATTATATCCACCAGAAGTCCATCTTGCAGTGAAACGTCAGACTTCTCTCTGGTGATGTATGCAAGACTTCTCCAATCGTTTTGTCGGCTTAAACCCCGCCCCCTTCTTACAATTCACTGCAAGCTCGTATTTAGATCAGCCTCCACCCAATCAAAAACCGACGGACAGAACCAGGCTTTACATTTTTTCCAGATAATCCGTTTCACTCTGATGTATAATAACACAATAGAGATTTCTGTACTTCTGTTCTCTAATTCTGTATGCCCGGAAACATAATTACAATAATAAAGGTAAATCGCTTTTCTGGGGGTCTTTTGTTTTATAAACAATGATATAGAAAATGGTAGAAATATGATTCACATTCACAGTAAAACACTTTCTATGAGCCAATTGGTTGGGTGGGTGTCAATAAAAGAATCATAAGGGGGCAGGGACGGACTGGGGCTAAATAACAGCCCTGGACTTTCTCCCAAATAGGCCCATCATCCAGCCATTCGCCCCTAGCCACTAGGATGTCCTGATACTATGCCACAATACTGTAACCTATGTCAGACAAGGTATTCACAGCAAGTAATATCTCAAAAACAATGATGACAATTGGGGTTTTGTTTATTAATGAAGCCTCAGTCTTCAAATAAAAACAAAAAAATGTACAATGCCATTACATCTGCATTGAAAATAAAATACAAATAATGAAATGTCACTGGCTACAGAAACCCTAATTACACAAACTTGTAATTATAAAACATTTAGTTACTATATACCAGGGGTCTCCAACCTTTTTGTGTGTGAGGGCTACCTCAAGGGATAAAATAATCTAGAAGGGCTATACTCAAAAATATTTATTATACATATAACATGGTGGTGTTTTTTTACCTTACCTTTACCTTTACCTTTACTTTTAACTTTAACTTTTTTATTTTTCACCATCATATGCGAAATAATAAAATATCTTGATATTCTGGCTCAACAATTGGTGAAAAATTTGTAATATATATATATATATATATGTATATATATATATATATATTATTCTCTAAAAACCTATTGTAGCATAAACATTTAGTATAAATATTTAATGCAAAATAAATAAATAAACTGCCATAACTTCTAAACAAAAACATTACTGCATTACATTTAATAGCCTACATTTATAGGCCTACATGACTATTAATATAACAGCATTTTTAATATGAATACAGGCACATTTCTGCCAAAAAAGTTTGTTTTACCAAGTTACAGTTAATTCATAAGTTGTGGAGTGAAATGTCTTCTAACTGGTTTGTTCTTGGAACAATGTTTCACCTGTTTTTTTGCGTCAAGATGTTGTGAATATCAGCGCTGTTTAATCTGGCTTTTAACTAGCTTAAATCACAGCCATCTGTGGGTTTATAATAGAGATAGAGAATTCTGCGCTGAATTGAAATGCTTCTCAGTGGATCGCGCAACTCTGTGTAATAATGTTCGCGTGATCGAGATCAGTCCGCACAGCTGCTTCGGCCGCGATCGCAGTTTTTTTGGGCCGAGCTGATAATGCTCCGCGCTGGCATCCAACTTAAAGGTGCATTGTTGCCACCTACAGTACTGGAGTGTGAAACAGATTAGTGGGGGGAAAAAACAGGTTTATGACTGCGTGTGTGGCAGGTGGTGGGCCGGCCCGCCGGCCGTCCTGGAGTACCGGCCGTTCTGTGATACTCCAGATCACACAGATGGCCAGTCCGCCCCTGTAAGGGGGTAATTGTAATCATCATAGTTACATTTTTAATGTTGAGCATAAAAATCAGTTTGTGCCTGGCACAAAAAAAAAAAAAAAGCCTGGCAGAAAATACAGTACAACTCATTTAGCCGGTTTATGAGTCAACAAGGCTTGTGCAACAACATGTTTTTTTTTGTGTGTGCGTTTTGCGTGAATGTGTGTGAGACACACACTTTGATCTTTATTTTGTTGTACAAGTGCTAAAAAGCTTCCTGTCTCTGTTGGGATTGTCATAAAGAGAAAAGGAAATGTGACATTTCAGCCAAAAAACTAAATTATGATTTCTGAACTCCTCAAATGACAGCATCACTATTAAGCAACAGGGACCATTTCGATGTGATAAAATGAGTGCATTAAAAAGACAACATTTAACACTTGCGACTTTTACACTCTTTCCCACATCCATACTCATTTTCATGACATCAACATCATCTTTCAGCAAATATCCTTGAAAGTACAGATTAAGACCCATCAGGAAAACATGCACAGTTGCACACTAAAAATCACCTAAAACTGATCCAGTGCACTAAGGTTAGTTGCTGCTGTACACTAACTGTTGCCATAACAACACAGCATTGTTCACTCGTGAATGTGGGCACTTCACTGTGCTCAGAATGAAAATGGAGAAGGGGTGTCCTTTTAGGTAAAAGCTACTTTAAATTCCCATTAAAACAGGACAAACAGACTTTTTTTTTTAGCAAAACCAAAATTAGGCGAATTCATTTCATTCTTACAAAATGCTCAGAGTATTTAGTCTATTTATACAAGACTCTTTCAATACAGTTCCATTTAACAACATGTAAATACTGCGTGCAATGTTAGGCGAGTAGCCACGTTTTATCACAAGGTGGTTTTTACAAACGTTTTACGTTATGTGCTCAGTTAGACCACTAAAACAGAAATCACGATTGCAGGCATTATGGGACCTTTCAGGATGACTCATCATCCGCCTGTGGGTGTAATTTATTAGAGGGTGAAAAGTAAATGGTCAAATATGTTTTATAATGTTCCAATTTCGATTTACAACAAGTGGCTTCAGGAGGAAGAAAAAAATGAATGATTCTGTTCTTCATATTTTGAGAGGAATGAAGAATAGACAGATGGAGAGAGACAGAAAGAGAGCAATCGTCTGTGTAGAAAGAAAAGTGTAGTTAGTTTAAGAAAGCCTTGTACATTTAGGGGCACTAATAAAACAGGTTTGTCACAGAGCAAGACATGACAAGCACTGCAAAATGTGCACAGTAATGGTAAAAGCCTGTCTTTGTTTTTCAAGACTGGCAGGAGGAGTTTTGTTCAAAGGGATTTTAAATAGAGACGCACCAGTCGACCGGTGTTCTGACGATTTGTGCTTCTACTACCCGAACACACGATTGGTTTTTCGTTTTATTTTGGCTGATCTCTATTCTGGACTTGTGCACAAACTGCATTGCAATCATTACCCAAAATGTCATTTATGTGGAAATATTACAAAGTCTGTAAACAGGACGTTAACACAGGCCAGAGACGGAACACTCTGGCCTGTAATGGACATTAATAACCAAATGCAGAGCCATACGTCACAGCAGTCTGAGGACAGCAGCGCCAGGCCAGCCATCTCAGATCGATGTTGGGGTGGAGCTTATAGCTTATATATAATTGAGGGTAGATTTAGTGGTTGGGCATCCGTTAAGGTAGAGCTTATTGTGAAGGGTAGGGTTAGTGTTTGGGCGGGATGAGCATCCCTAACTTCGGGTCTCACGCTGCTGTCTTAAGACTGCTGTCCTCAGACTGCTGTGACGTGTGGTTCTGCGGTTAGACATCACTAAAGATGGACACAAAGATAATACTGTACCAGGCACAGCAAAATGACCGTTCGTGATCCCCAAAAAATTGGAAGAAAAATATAAATATTGAATTGGGTGGGGGTTTATATGAATGGATCTATAAAGGAAACTGACTGCCTTCAGAAAAGTTTCAGTGGCATTATCTTTTCATCTTACCTCTATATAAATTCGTGTTTATAAGCACAGCTCTGCTTTGTGTACAGTGGTAACCAAGGAAACACTATATCACTGCTTTTGCCCAAGCGCCATCTACTGTCAGAGAGTGAATTTACATTTTCATTCAGTCTGTCTGCGTTTTTTTGTGTGTGCAGGTGTGTCTTGTGTAGCATAATGTCACAAAGCTAAAGTCAGAACCTTCTGTTTTTGCTTTAAGTCTAATTTAAAATTCAATTACTTATTAATTCAATTACTTAATTTAATTCAAAAACAACTGCTCATGTTACATAAGTGTAGGATCTTTGTTCGGATCATGATTAAAATCAGCAACCGGTATCGAAATCAGCCAATTGGTTTGAGAATAAAAAAAATAAAAAAATAAAAATCGGCAATAAAAAAAGATGATCATTGCATCCCTAATTTTAAAAATCAATAGAATTTATTCTCAGGAGAGAGTCTGTGAGAAAATAGCTTTAATTATTTGCACAATTACATATATTAATCAGATGCAGATTTTGGTACGTGACAAGTCTTCAAAGGAGTCCATGAGAGCAAATAACATTAAATTCTGGTTAAAACAAAAGAAACATAAAATAAGGAAATATGACAAAAGACCAGGAAGGCCTGTCCAAATACACAGAGCAACACTTGCTCCCCGTCCTGAAGTAAACAGACAGAGATCCACAGGTCACTAAATGCTCCCATCTAAACATGCACCCCATGACCTTATCTGAGCTGATCTGAACTTATTCTTACAGAATACATGGCTGAATGGTCACACAATGGTAAAATAAACTGCTTGCATTCGTGTCTCGTCTGGAATACTGATTTTATAACACTGGTTATAGAAACTAAATATAACATCTCTGAAAAGGGACGCATGTATAATTTTATGTAAAATAATAGAAAAATACTAAAAAAAAAGATTACAGATATGACAGTGGTCAACTTAAATACCTTCACAGCTTTTATACTGATACAAGCAGACATTATGGTTACCATGGTAATCACTGTAACTATAGTTACCACCAAAATGTAGTAACCTTATCAAAAAACAAAATCAAATCAAACAAAATGACATCAATACAGGAAGTTTCTTACACTGTTTGGATGAGATGCCATATTAATGTATGATGATTATACATTAGTAACTGTAATAAGTAAGTAGTAAACCATGGAATTTTGTCTGTTACCGTGGTAAAGCTTTATAAGGGCCAGAGCTCTGATGAGGGCAACTCGAGCAAGATCGTATTTCTGCCGTTTCAGTGTCACTGTTTATACTACAAAACACCCTGGGAAAAAAAAGAATGACCTTCATCATGTTGTTTAAAGATTTAGTTTCACTGACCATTTGGAAATAGGTCTGTTACTAGACACTATGACATCAGATGTGAAGATTGAGAAACAATTAAAGATTGTATATTATAAAACAAAATAAAATATAAATGATTACTGATTTATTAATGCCATCTTACTGACATGAAACTATTGAGAGGAAGTCCCTGAGTGTCTTTCACGATATTTTGAAACAATTTTAAAACAATCTTTGTAACACCAGCATTTCTAAAGAATCTCCGGTGTTAGGCTACTTTTTGTCAGAAAAGTCAAACACCTCAACGATGCCGAAAAACGCCAAATAAATTCGCATAAACCAAATTGAAGGTAAAGTGTACGGCCTAACCTGAGCTGCGCCGCGGTTTAACGCCCTTCGCACCTTGTGTCATGAAAGTACCTGAGGCAGGTGTCGCTCCCAGCCGCGGGTGAAACGAGCGTCTTCACGATCCTTTCATTCGTTTATGGAAGGAAAAGCTGGATAAATATTCCAACTCCTTCCTCAGTCACTCTGCTTCTACAATTTGTAGGCTTAAACAGAGACAGGAACTTAGTTTAAAATCCACTCGAGTGCAACCCCTCAGCTGTAAAGAGTTTAGTAGGACGCGTGGTCCTAAAGCGAGGCGTGTTTCATAGAAGAGGAATAACAAGATAACAGAGCTGTTCAGTTTACCCGGAAAGGTATTAGCATGAAGGCATAAACCATAGGAATTACATAAATATTTTAACACTAACAGTTTTTGATTAATCAGTTAATCAAGGTTTGTATGTAAAATTTCTTGGAGAGACTTTTAAATTTCGTTTTAAAACATAGATAACATGATTGAAACTTTGAAGTTTTTAACCCAGAAAAGATCTGAAATTCATTAAATGAAACAAGGTTTTACAAATGTTCAGTTTAATATAACTGTTTTATATTTTAATATATTTTAAAATGTAATGTAGCCTATTCCTATGATAGCAAAGCTGAATTTCTAGCAGACATTACTCCAGACTTCACAGTTTACAGAAATAGTTCTAATATTCTGATCTGGTGCTTTTGAGAATGGCTGTGCTGCTTAATTTTATGTGGAAACTTGATAAAGAAAAATGTTCACGGTTCTTTGATTAATATAAAGCTCAGAAGAACAGCATTTATTTGAAATATAATCTTTTGTAACATAATTATTGTTAATGACACTATGATCAATGTAATGCATCCTTGTTAAATAAAAGTATTAATTTCTTTTAAAAAGAAGCCTTCTGACCCCAAACTTTTGAACGGTAGTGTATAAAACCAACCTGACAAACAAATACACAGCAACACTCAAATATATGCATGTAGAGTTTTTATTTTCCTATACAGATTATTGTGTCAATGACACATGTTATGTATCTATAAACAAATGTTTCTCAAAAGTACATTTTCACTAATGCCACAAGGTACAGAGATATCAAAATGATTTGTGATTGCAAAATCCACCTTAAAAATGCAACAGAAACTGCTATATTCTTGAGCTGTGCATCTGCTGGTATGATGTGTGACCAATGTCTATCAATGGACATTTTGAGTCAAACCAAGCAGGGAATCTGTGATTCATAATTGGCATTTCCAACTGATTTGAACAAGATCTGAAAAGAATAATTGGTTGAATTTGTGAAACGCACTCATTAACCATGTTATCTAACCTGTGTCGACCCACATGACAGAGGCTGTTTGCATCAAAGCTCAATGCTGTTGCATGCTGAGCTGCAAAACTGGATTTGCTCTTGTGTGCCCTGTGGCTCCGTGTGGAAAACTTGCGAAAACACAGCTGTAGAAATTGCAGTACATGTGTGGCATTGGCTTGTAGATTGTATACTATATTTTACCTTTCCATACATTCATCTGGGAGCCCTACTCATGACAGAGAATGATTCTGTCACTCCTTAAAGAATGGATTAAAGGCTTTCCAATCGTATCACTCTTGCATTTCCTTATTGTGCATGATAGTCACTATACAATGCATTGATATATATATATATATTCCATTGAACAAACTGAATTGCATGCATGGTAAGACAGAGATGTTGAAAATCACAAGAGAATGAGAAAGATTTTTGTCTTTCATTCCCCTTATTTCAATTAAACTGGAGTGATTCTTATGACTAATCTATTACCCACACAACATTGCTACTAAAGTGGCTCTTGCTTTTTAATTTTGTATGCAAATGAGACTTTGAAAACACAAACATCTTAGCAGATGTCAACGGATGTCTTCAAACAAAGAAAATACATTGATGAGGCATTCAAAGCATTGTCACAATGTATTCACAGCGCTATTCCTCATTCCACGTTTTCCGTAACGTTAAACAAGCACAGTGTTGTGATGACCTTCACGGAGGCAATGGACATCTGAACATGTGGTATTGATTTCAGCTGCATACCTACAGTTCTGACTGGAATTTACAGGAATCAGGACAAGTTCATCTAAGTATTATGTCAGTAACAAAATATTTCATTTTTTAATGCAGCCAGTTTATAAAATGTATTATTAAGTGCTTAGTTGTGATTTATTGCCAATACAAAATTCTCATAAGTGCAAATGGTCAATTTTCAAATCTCTTTTACAAATAATTGAGCTCATTTGGTCCATTTAGAGGTTAGGGGAGGTTCACTCTTCCTAGTTCATCCAAGGTAAACATAGAGTGTTGGCTTTAGACATTCGTGATCTCTATGCTCGAGTAACCGTGCATGGGACTGCCCTTGGTCCTTTGCAGGATCTTGATGCGATCTTCTCTGGGTGGTGATCCACACCCGCCTTGAAAAGTGAAGTCCCTCCCAACAGCGACCAGTGGATTGAATCTCAAAGGGCTCTGAGGAATGACAGAAAGGCTATTTATCCTTTTACAGATCGTTAACAATAACATAGTCGGACAAAGTCCACCATTTGTCTTAATTTTGACAGACTGTTTTGTGTCAATAAAGGACAGCCCCTACCTTGCCAACTTTTTGCTTGGGAGAAAATCCTTCATCAGTTTTGCGGCAGTTTGAGGCAGGTGAATGTGTAGGAGTCCCTTCTTTCCTGTAGTCCTGAGCCTGATTAGTTCTGCAAGACAGAAATACTACTCAGCCACACTCTTAAGATCAATACAGTTACTGTTCAGCAGAGTGCTTTTTACACGGCTATACGCAACAAATAAATAAATGAAATACAGGGAAATGAAATACAGATCTGAGTTGAGATATTTGTAATTGTCAGGGTTCTGTCTAGTTATCTTGGTTTGGTGACAGAGCTCTGACACTATGGTTTGTCATGTGCTTGTGTCATAGTCCTGTTTGTTGTGAGCACATGGCTTGTCATGTGTTTCCTTGTGCTCTCCTGATTGCCCCCTCCCATCTTGTTACCTGATTATTGATATATATTGACATATACTGCAAGTAATTCAAGGCATTTGTTTATTTTCCAGCTAAATATTGAAATAAAAAAATTCTAATCATTTTTAAATGCCACAGAACTTGGAGCAACTTTACCAAATCAACATTTATGTAAATAAATCTACCTATCAGTATAATACATTGTTACACAGGAAATTCAACCTCTTTGTTTGGCATAAAACACTTTTATTCAAAAGCAGGTATGACATTCTTAGTCACACTCTGTCACTCTGTATTCTGTCCTAAAGGCGCTTAAAATATTACAACTGTAGAAAAGATGTTCCTGAGATTCAATAGGCTATCTTATTTTGACAAAATGTACAAACACGAGAAATGTGAAAGTAGCGCCGGTCTTTTTGCGGATGAGCGGACTGATACACAGTGCCATGGACGACCGCTGGATGACGTGACTGACAAATCAGAATCGAACACTCCAGTCAAGAGTGCCGCGTAATTTTCTCTTTGAAAATGTAATGTTTCCCCATTCAAAGAGACAGGAGCTTTTAAAGTTTACAAGTTATCTAATAACTATCAATTGCAACAGCTTGTCATATTCATATGCTAACAATGACTATGAAATGAAGCTGCACACACCTTGCTGGGTTGAGAAGCACTTTCATTTCCTCGTATAGATGACGATGGATCATGTGTTTATTGTTGGGGATGTCTAGAGCCTTGGCCATGCTGTCCGCACTGAAGGTCGGATCTAGAACCATCACAGCTCCATGGATGCCACTGTTCTGAAGGCTGTCAGCATACTCCTGCATAAAAGACAACATTCAACAGGTTGGATATAAAAGTAGGCTACAGTAATTGTCTTACTAAAAATATCAAACCTATGATGCTAGACTTTTTCTCCGATTTTTTTTGTGGCAATTATGACATTTAAGTAGTGGTTTAAGTATTCAAATAGTCTACTTTTGGGACCAATGTATATTCTCCACGGTTAAAAAGTTTGGGGTCATTAATGTTTTTATTAATATATATTTTTTCAATTAATACTTTAATTCAGCAAGGATGCATTAAATTAATTAAAATGCATAAAATAAATCTAATAAACACTGTTCTTTTGATTTCACAGACAGGGCTTAGATTAAGCCAGGATCAGGCCTGAGGTTAATTAGGACATTTAAGTAGCTTTTATAAACGTGCCTCAGAAAAAAACAGTACTGGTGTGCATCAAAACAGTTGCACTGACATATTTTAAGGTCAGTGTAAGTTGCTTTCAGTTAAAACATAATTTTAGTCTGGGACTGGTCTTAAGCCCTGTCTGTGAATCCGGGGGTCTATTCATCAAAGATCCCTGAGAAAAAAACAAAACAAAACATGGTTTCCACAAACATATAAAGCAAAACTGAAATTCATACCAACCTTAAGATCAATGTCTCTGATCCATTTAATGACACGGTGGCTGGTCCAGACCACCGGATCCAGATCTCGATTCTCACACTGAGCACGACGTGCCTGTATAATCTGCAGAGATGTTATGATAAAAGCAAACTGATCAGTGTATTTTACAATATCACCAACAATACCTGCATATTTTCAGACTGAATGTGAGTATACAAAAAATCTTGCCTCTTTGTCGAAATTAAGCATTTGAAGAAATTGAATGGCTGATAGGATGCTGGTAACATGAAACTTGTTGGTGATGTTGAAGATGGTTTCTAGGTCTCTTCGTGTGATAGAGTTCAGCACTCTGCCGTCCACTAACTGGTTGTGGAAGACCTGCGAGTACTGGGGGAGCCCGACGTCACCCAGCCAGGTGTGAGACACCCAGTGATGATCCAAATCAGCAGCTTTGGAAAGTCTGAGTGACAAAAATGAGAAACAAAACCAATTGCCAATGCACACGTGTGTGTGTGCTCTAATCTAAGCAAGTGTGGCCGCTCACCCTCGTCCATTCTCTGCTTCTCGGTAGTCCTCAATAGCTAGACGCAGCTTCCTGCGGTGCATGGGGCTGTTGATTCCCAACCCCAGCTCCAGATCCTCATCGGTCAACCCCAACAACACCTGCAACAGGAAGCAGCTCACTGACATCATCACCTAGGTCTTCCAGTTCAACAGAGTAATCATTAATAGATTCACGTCAGAGCACATTGGAAGCATCAGGGAAGTAATAGCACTAAAGTATAATCAGCGGCCACAGAATTGAAAATGTTATCCTAGAATATCGCTTAATCAAGGAGAGGATTATAAATAGCTTATTAGTTGTATTTATTTGCATTTTTGCTTTTGAAAAAGGTGGTAAGAACAGGAACAAATAAAGAGGAGAAGCATTTACCTTCCCACTCTTGACATTCTCAGAGCAGGCGCGCATGTACATGGGCATTGCCATGACAACCTCCAGCCAGGCCTGCACAGTGAGCGCCCTCCACAGAGACATGGGCTTGCTCCGCGTAAGCTCCGCCTGCTGCAGCCGCTCCAGCTGCTCCTCGCCATCTGATAGGCTGGGCTGGGTCTGGCTGGAGAGGCTGTCTGAGTCTGGATTGGTCAGGAGGGGCAGGAATAGGAGGGGGGTTCAGAGGGGTTGAGAGCAAAACAAAAACGCCTTATCCATTTTGCACATAAAAGCTTTTTTATGTGTGCAGAAAAAGCACCCACCTCCATATCCTCCAGTTTAATTTCAGTATTTTCTGCTCTTATAAAGCTTCTTAAATGACTCATTGCTTTCTAGCAAGAACTGACAGCCACGATTAGGCCTGCGGTCAACATCGACAGGCCTTATCTATCCTCATATAACCCACACACCCTCTGAAACAAAACTTTTACCACCAGACTTTCACTTCAAAACCACTTAACTTCCTTCCCCTTCCTGTGTGAAACTAACATTGAATGCACTTGCTTTTATATGTTAATATACTAACAAGAACATTTTACAGCATGTTTTACTATAACAGGAATATAAGTACGTGGTTGTCAGGGTCACAGGCCATTTTGTTTTTACTGTATAGTGGATTGACCACAATTTAAAAACAGTTCAAACTAGTTACTATTGTCTTTGAACCTCAAAATTTCACATTTAATTCAATGCTTTAACTTGTCGTTTCTTTGTTATTTGGGAAATTGCTCACACTTTATATTAAGTGCTTTATCAGTTTTATAAGAGGCAGTCGTGGCTAATGGTTAAAGAGTCAGACTGGTAACCTGAAGAGTTGCGTGTTCGATTCTCAATACCGGCAGGAAATGACTGAGGAAATGATTGAGGTCATTTCCTAACCCCCCCATCGCTCCAGGTGTGTGTGTCCACGGTTTGCAGTGTGTGTGAGTGTGTTCACTACTCACTACTCCTAATGTGTGTGCACTAACTTGGATGGGTTCCAATTGAGTTACCATACTTGGCCTGCACATGCCACTTTCACTTTTCTTTTAACTACCATGTACTTACATTAAAAAGGTTATGTACAAGGTACTTATTGTGTTGATGTTGTAAAACAAAAGACTTGCTGCTATTACGGGTAAGGTTATGTTTAAGGGTGGGTCAACAGTGTAATTACAGAAAATATTTACATGCAGGTATTTTTAAAATAGAAGTACAACGTTAAAACATGTATTTACACTATAAGTGCATTGTATCAATTGATTAATTTAAATATTAGTAACTAGTAGGTAAAGGCGTTTGCTGTGAAGTGGGACCGTGAAATTTACTAGCAATTTCTGAGTGAAAATTCTTTCAAAGTAAATAATCAGTGTATTCATTGTAGACTATTTGATTAAAATTAAAATCATTCTGAGTTTTTATATTGTAGTAATTTATTTTCTTTTAGACGTTCCATTAAACCACCAAACGAAAGTCACCAGATTTGTATTAATGCCATATAATCCACACAAGTAGTGTCATGTCTACACCAGCAGGTGGCGCCATTTAAACTCTAACTGAGCTCATACTGCTGCAGTGATGTCATCCTCGAAGAGCTCGACTTTCAGTTGAATCTGAATTAATTAGATATAGCTAATTATGTACATTATTTTGGTTTCTAATATAGCCCTCCTAACGCTAAAAGTGTGTCCTGGCAGGTATAAAACAAGATTGAAATCACCCTGAGGGTTCAGACTGAATCATTCTTCTCTAGGCTTCATCAGATTTTAATTAGCTGAAAAAATTACCTCTATAAGACTCATTATCTGATGGGCATCGGGGCAGAGGACACCTATTTTGAACCTTTAGAGGAAATAGGCAGGCGCTCGTCTGAGCAAAGACGGAGCCTTGACCTTGTTCGAGACATCTGAGAGCATCCGCTGGCTTATGGAAAAAATGGATTTTAATGGAGATCGCAATCTGTTTCCATTTCAATTAATGAGAAGGAAAAAAAACCAATTTCTCTCCATCATGCTTCATGAGGCTGTGAATAGAAAACTCAAGTAGGCCTATATAATGTACTTTTTATGATATATAAATGTATAAACCCTAATAAATGTGTAGCATTTTAAAATAAAGCCTTAAAGAATCAGTTGGTAGTCATGAGATGATGTTTTGGGTAGAAGTGCACATGACCGTGCTCATGTTTTGGATAACGGTGTACATGATAGACTGGTTCCAGTTGACATATTCATATGAGTTATGAATGTAGTGAGTTTGGGGCATTCTCATCCACTGAGGTAAGACAATGTTAGGACACGTGTTAACACAGATGGTGGGAACGGGGTCACCCCAAACCATGGCAACCCCAGAACAAGAGGGTTAAGAGGAAACCATTATGACAACTTGCACACAAACACACACACACAGGGTCAAGAAGAAAGGCACATGGATGTTGGGTTATGTGTTTTTATTTTAAAATAAGTTTATTTTAATTGTTTCTTTTTTCTTTTTAAATCTCCAGAGTGTTAAAACCTTCTGTAAATTCAAAGATAGTCTGGTTTCATTGAAATGACCTCTTTCCTAATCTTTAAATAAATTCTTTAATAGATTTAATATTATATCTCACAATCTACTTTACAAACCTTACAACATAAAATCATTAGAGTGACATGAGGAATGAAGTTCAGTTTTAATTTAAAAGATCAAAAAAAAAAAAAAAAAAAAAAAAAAAAATCAGTGCCACCAAGATGCAAAGGAAAGCTTGAAACGGAAAGAAATATGTGATATGTCAGTGAGACAAGAGTCATGATGACATCATTGGGTTCAATGGAAAAGAATGTTATGAAGCAGGGTGTGTTGTGAGTTCTTACAGGCATTCTATTTGCACACTTGATAGAGCAGAGAAAAGAAAATATTCCTATGTATTTTCTTGAGTTCTTCTGCAAGCTGCACTATAACCCTTTGGCACTTTATTGATGTAAGGTCAGCACCTGATTTAAGAATATTTCAGATCCGTGTTTAAATAGTGGAAACAGACTTTCCCAATATCACTTCAAAATCAAACGTGATTCCTCATAGGTTATAAAATGTGAGATTTTTTTCATATGGAAACAGTCTAATAAATAATGCTACATGTCTTTTAGCATAAAAGGGGCAGGTGATCTGAGAAGCATCAGACCATGCAAACATAGCTCGACAAGGCCAGTCTGATGCATGTTGCAACTTTATAACTGAATGCAATCTACCATCATAATGGAACTAAACTGCCTAAAATACGATTTATTCAGTCTTTCCAGACAATAAAGTACAGATTTTAAGAGGTTTTCATTTCACATTTGTCAAGATTAAAAAGATCCTTGGTGCAGCCTTGCAAGAGGACATAATGCATAATAAAATATTAGCTTTCAAATGATCATTCTCTCGGTTTGGCAGCTGTCTGAGTGTAACTCTTGAGGTAAACACACAAAATTCCCCCATTAAGGTGCGGCCCATTCTCTGCAAAAGTTTGCGGGCAAAATCCAGTCATTTCAAGTTAGGGCTAAAAAGTTCTCTACACAGATTTTGCTAGTGTTGACACGGATTCGCCGCATCCACCAACAGAAAGCTGCTTGGTTTGAAAGTGTCTTCTGTGTGAGCTGTGGTTCTTACATCGCTACATTTCGGACGATGGACATTAGACCTTTTTTTGCCCGCAAAATCTCAGAGATATTTGACCGCAGCTTTACGCAGATGTTCCTTAGCGATTGGATTACTGAGGTGAACAGGCAAACCATTAGAAAACCTTATCCGGATGTAACTCCGTAGATCCTAAAATTAAAAGTGCACTCAGTAATTTTTCGTTAATATTGTGCTGACTGCCATCTTGGACTAAAAGGAATAGTTCGCCCCAAAACTGAAAATTACGTCATCATTTACTCACCCTCATGTTGTTCCATACCTGTAGGCTATTAGTTTCTTTCTTCTGTTGAACACACACACACACACACACAAAAAAGATATTTGAAAGAATCATGGCAATCAAACAGTGACGTAGCCATTGACTTCCATAGTATTTTTTCCCTCTACGGAAGTCAATAGCTACCGCGTCGACTGTTTGATTGTCCGCATTAAATACATTCTTTAGTGTTCAACAGAAAAAATGAACTTGTTGGAACAACTTGAGGGAGAGTAAGTTATGACAAAAATTTAATTTTTGGGCCCCTGTAAGGCATATTCACATTTATTACTATAAAGAAACTAACTATATGAGCATCCACACCGTTCTTCTGTTCATTATACATGCGCTGCAGTTGTGTAGTCTGCTACTTTAAATGCTCATGCTCAATAAAACAGGATGCTTTCTGATTAGCTGTCCATGTTTTTATATTTTATCAGCTGAAAAAAATGTTTTGTTTTTTAAAGTGATTCCAATTACATTGTTTATCTGTGCCGTTATCATTATAGTTGGTGTGGACTTTTCTATGTAGAATTATTTTTTAACTATCGTAATAGTTATTGTCCTCGGTGTGAACGGGCCTTATACTGACACCTAGTGGCATGGGCACTAAGTTTAGAGATTCTAAGTAGAAATGTCATATTTTAAGTCAGCCAAGAGAGTGAAGTGAAGAATCCAATAATAATAGGTAGATTACCAAAATAAAATAAATAACATTAGCTGGTCATGTGATCTCAACATGGCCGCCCATGCAGTGACCCGCTGACATAAAACAGCTTTTATTTGGCTCACATCTCATGTGATCATGTCATGTTAACATTTCAAAATTTTCATGATGGGAAAAATGACAGAGTGCACCTTTAAATCTTTCAGATGGAGCTCACGCTATAGTGTATGAAGACAGCCTGGAGCTCTGGGTTCATGGTAAAAGCAGTCATGAAAAAGAAGCATTCCACATGAAGACATCAGCAAACACAAGGTGCACAAAGAGTTCCTATTTACAAATGCTCAGCAGTAATTCAAGTTTCCAGTTCATAAAAAAGAGACATATTACCACAAATAAAGCATTATAACAGCATTAACATATACACACGCAAATGATCCCATGTATATATTTATATCAATGTAAACATATGTACATATGCATACATATATAAATATATATTTCATTTACATAGATGTTTTTAAGTGTCGTTATGTACATTTAAAGGAGGCAGCAGTTCTTCCTCTTTCCTGTATTTTTCACGGGGAATACATTTGAAGGCACACACAAACGCTTATGCACGCTCGCACACACACATTAACTCATACATATCCAGGCGTACGTCCACACACACACACACACACACGCAATAGCACTATCACCAGTCAGCATCCTCCTCTATATAGTAATCAGGGGTGGAAGTACCATCAAACAGGCCCGGATCCAAGGACTTGCGTTGAGATTTACCCCGGGCAAACACTCGAGAAAGTGAGCCGAGACTAATCTTCTCCTTCTTCTTCTTACGCTTCTGGTCCTCGAGGTCCTCCATGGACTGAAGCAAGAACAAGAAAAGGCAGAAACAGAGACAGCGAGAGAAGAAGGAGAAGAGAGAATAGAAAAGTAATGGTGGACATATGGGGGCAGGTCAGTCATGTGGTTTCATCAGGAATCTCAGGAAAATCTGCCCTCTCTCATCAGCACTGCTTCAGGGGCCCACACACTCTAATTGTTTTTTTTTTGTTTTGTTTTTTACCAAAAACTGCAGTCGTTGCTACAATAAACCCTAAAAAAAAGTATTAGACCACTCACAGAAATAAGAGTGGCAGAAATAATAGTGTTCAATATGATGACTGTTCGAACGGAAGACTCCAGTTAAAAGGAGCCAATCACCTTTCTGATTAGCATAACATTTTTGTTTAGAGCAATGCTAAATTTATGATACCCCTATTGTCAGATTTTGTTGTTGACTTCAGTCTTTCTATAGCTGCCCAGGTGCATTAACAATATGCCACCGGGTGAACTCTCCAGTCTCTGCTGAAACCAGTCTAGTTTGCTGGTTTAAGCTGGTCTTCCAGTCTGACAATCTGTAAAGGAGCCCAAACCCCTCTAAAACCAGCAAACAGAGCAGCATGACCAGGCTGGCAGACCAGCATAGACTGGTTTCATTTAAAAAAAAAAATTATGAGCTGCATAAAAAAAAAAGAGTTAATAAAAATGACAAAAATCTTCTAACACATATGGAGATCCCATATTAATTATTATAAAATGGATGGTTGGTCACTTGGGCATTTTGGTACATCACGCATAAATGTTTATTGCTGTTTCTACCAGCTTTGTTATTGGTAACTAAAACTAAACCGAAAACTATTTAAAAACTATTTCCGGCAATTTAAATGAAGCTGAAATCAAATATAAATAATAGATGAAAAACTAAAGCTTTAAAAACTTAAACGAAAATGAGCAATGTTGCTTTGTCAACTACTTGGAATAAGTTGAAGTACTAAAGTTACTAAAGTTGAATTAAAGCTAAATAGACAAATTAATAAAAATGACCAAAGCACATAATTAAACTAAAACTGAATTCAACTAATTAACTAATTCAATATGTTTTTTATAAATACTATAATTGTATATAAATAATCATAAAATAATGGTCTTTACAAGCCCAATGCGCAAAACAAACACATTCAGTTCAGTCTTGTGGAGCACGACTAATTCTTACAGGTCCAAACTGTATCTTTTGATTGATCTGCATGAACCACCATCAGCACAAAACGTGCCCCTGAAGCCATGCTGATGAGCAGCGCAGGGACTGAATATTTGAAAAGAGTGAAGGTGGAGATAAAAGCAAGTTGGGAAGGCTGTTTACTTGGTCGGGGGTGCCAGGCAGCTCTTACATTGCAGAGGGAGTGAGTCCGGTGGCGGGGCGAGTTGATGTCGCTCGGGGTGGATGAGCGGTCGCCATCGGCAGCCGAGGCGTCGGAGATGACGGAGGGCTGGCGGGAGTGACAGGGGCTGATCCTCAAAGCAGCTGTGGAGACAGGAGACGGGTGTGTGAGTGGACTAAAGAAGACCTTTGGCGTATCTTTGCATGCTGTTGTGTAGGCCTGTACCTTGCCTGTCAGCGGGGTGTGAATGGTACAGGGTTTGTTGACTCTGTCTGATTGCCGCAGTGAGGGGAAGGTCTGCTTGCATCACCCACTCCTGACTGCCGTTCACCACCGGCTCTGATGGCATCGCCACAGAGTGACGCTTTGGCACGTCTTTATTGAGAGTGGCCAGAGACTGCTTTGCCTGAGGTACAAAAATAACATGCACACAAACGTACCATATTTCAGTTGAGATCACTATAGAACCTTTATACAGTTGGGTCTATAATTAAGAGGATCCAAAGTTAGAATGCTTTGATTTTTATATTTAATAAAAAATTCATTACAACTCAATGTATTTGAACTCTACAAGTTCATGTAAAACCAGATGATCATGTTCTCCAGCTGTACAAATAAGTGTCACAATTTTGAGTCTGTTTAGTGACCTAAACATACTTTACATACTTTATATAATTTTAATTATAATTTTTTAAAATTTATATAACCTATGCTATATATATATATATATATATATATATATATATATATAAATAATACAAAATAATAAAAGTAAGAAACTATTTTAATGTAGATATACATATATATGTGTATACAAATACTGTATATACACATTATTTTTTATATTTTATTAATATATATTTATAATAATATATTGAATATATCTTAATATTCCCAACTGTTATATTCCCATCTAAAAAAAATGTTCACACAAAAAAAATCACTTCTGTGTATATATATATATATATATATATGTATGTATTTTTTTATTTTATTTATAAATATATATTTATATTAACATATATTATTTATTAATTTAAAATAAAGTGAAATACTTCTTAATATTCTAACTGTTCTTACATTTAAAAAAAAAAAGTTTAATCACAAAAATCTTGCCCCCCCTGTACATCAATAAAGTTAAAAAAAATTTATCCATTACTCAGATGTTAAAGGATATAAAACATCTTGCCCCTCAGATTGCTCAGGGGAAAAACAGTGGATTTCAAAATCTCAGTGGGAGTGAAATCATTAGTATGCTTGAGATAATGTGTGTATGTGAATACTGGTGAGGCACACAGGCACAACAGATTAGGCAGATGAAGTGAGTAATGATGCTATTACTGCTCTGTTGACAGCCATGTGCCTCTTCATGGGGATTTTTGTGTGACTGCATGTGCCCATACATATGTTTGCACATTGTAATGCCAATCCAGCAAAATGTAAAATTGCATAATGCAGATCAGTTGGGGTTCCATGATCCATCTGTGGATCTTAACTGATGAATGTTGAGGCTGATATATCGGCAATCAGAGCCACTGAGAGGTCATTCGAGAGCCTCTAATGATAAGAGATGCAAACCGTCAAGAGGATGAGTTAAGACAAGATAAGAGGTGTAAGTGTTTATGGCATTGTGGGAAGTGGAAGTGTGCGTCTGCAAGAGAGAGAGATCAAGAGAGATGCTATCTCACCATGGTGAGCTCTGCCTCTAGCTCTTTGATTCTGTTCTCCTTCATGTCTATCTGGGAGCGCAGGACGCTGGCTTGTTCTGTGGCTTCTTTAGTCTGCCGGCGCAGGTCCCATTTCTCTCTCTCCAGCATGTCCTTCTCTTTGGCCAGAGTCTTTACCGCGTCCTCGCTCTCCTGTAGCACAGCACACAGTCAGCATCAGTCCGTCACACACATGTAAACACACACACTACTTTTCTTTCAGCTCAAAAAAGCTGCTTGTATGTGGATCTGTCAACATATTGTCAAATGTATCAAGAATGAAGTTCCTCCTTAAGTTTCCTCTAATACAAAATTTGTCTTTAAGATCATGTCAGCCAATGGTAAATTTATCAGTCTTTTCAAATTTACAATTATCTAGTGCGACCCTGAACAAAAAGAGAAAGAAGATAAAATAATTAGATAAAGTAAGTTTCATTTTTGAAAGATTGTTTCAGATGACACGCATGAAGCAAATTATAAGTGAACTGATGTCAGTGGAGAATTTCATGCACACCTTTCTGTGCTGGTCATAATTTCGAATGAAGTCTCGGAGCTGCTCTTCTCGGCTCTCCAGTGTGGTGTAGAGCTGCTGCATCTGGTTCACCAGGTCAGCCTTTTCAGCCTTCAACCGCTTCCGATCACCCTTCATAGCTACACACAAACATACGCAATCATATTCAGAAATGCAGCAATAATAATCACTCTTAGCACATTATAAGTATATAAACAACCGAATGCCTCCTACATCATAACATTCACATTTTAGCGTTTGGACTTTTTGCACTGTGGCTGCAACACACAACACACACACACAAAGGCTTTGTGTCCTTGAATGACACGTCTGCGGTTTGTGCTCTGACCTCTATCTGTCAGATAAGAGTTGTGGACATACAAAGTGATGGATTACCCTGTGCGTGTACAAAATAAACAGTCCAAATCCAGTGTCTTAATAGGCATCTTTTGATGATTATTATTATTAGTGGCATAAATAAAGGACTGTAGTGTTGTAGTTAAAATTGGTGCCATGTACTGCTCAAAACAGTCTCCAGGGGGCACCATGCTCCACTATAAACATCCCACACAGGGGAAAAAGACATGTGTGTTGTTAACATTAAACATATGCATTTTATTTCAAGGGTTTAAATAGAGAGGAAATGTGAGGTGTAACACCTCATAACAATTCCATATCATTTATTAACATTTCATTTACAATCTAAAGCTTTCTGAGGTCTGCTGTCTTGTTGCTTGTAAAAAGTAAATCATTTATTTGACTTGAGGTAACTGTCTCGTTCCCCCTCAAACTGAAGGAGGCTCCTCATTCAACAGTCAAACCTGTTTTTCCACTATGATACGAGAGACGTTGACATTCATGAGCACACATGTACCCTAACATCCATCACCTCTGTCTCTCTCCCCATCTCTCTTTTCTCCAAAAGGGCCAAAAAGACTCAAATCTGATAAATGGTTTTGTTTGCTGAAAACTCTGCTTGACGCAGTCTGTCGCATGTGGAATATTTGTAATGGACTGGCAGGTTGCTCCAGCTCCTGTTTAGGTACTACAGGTGTTATATTACAAACTAAATGACTAAGTGTCAAGTAACACGGTTGACCTAGTGTAAAGTGTGTCACAATTTTGAGTGCAGCGTTTTCAATGTAGATCTCTTTTAAAAGTGTTCAAGAATTTAGATAACAATTTGATGTCATTTCTTTCAATTACTTTGCCCAACATTTTCATATCGGAGTCATGTACAGACTAAAATATGACAAAAGAATAATCCATTTGACTGACTGAAGATATCTATTTTAAAAACATATGCCACGCTTAATAAACCAAATGCCACTTGTTTTTAAGAAAGACAGCACAACCATTTCACAAAAAGAGATTAAATGGAGAGCAAATGGAGTCTTCTGCCTAAGTCTCTTGCTTCTCATATTGTTCTCTTGAGAAAAACACAAGGTGTCTAGATTATAGGGCGTCTAGTGTCATCTTGTGTGTTTCCTTAAGCGATTCAGATGGGATCTCAACAATGTCTTAAACTGATTGTCAAGAAACCAAAGTCTGAGATCAAAAGAGATTTTAATATGAATATTAGCATGATAATTTCCATAAACAAATAGTTTGTGCTATGCTGTTTATAGCTATTTATTCTTACTGTATGTTAGCAATTTTCTCATTTATGTCTGTTTTTATCTCTCCAAAGGAATTTAAAAGAAACATCTGAGAACTTCATTAAATATAATAAATACAAATATTCCCCTGAGACTGTATACACTATTGTTCAAAAGTTTGGGGTGGAAAAACAGTAATATTGTGAAATATTATTACAGTAACAGTTTTCTATTTTTATGTGTTTTTAATATGTAGGCTAATTAATTCCTGTGATGGCAAAGCTGAAGTTTTACCATCATTACACCAGTCTTCAGTGTCACATGATTCTTCAGAAATCATTTTAATCGGATTTTGTCTTTAATGTCACTTTTGATCAATTGAATGCATCCTTGTGGAATAAAAGTATTAATAAAAACTGACCACAAACTATTGAACTATAATGCATATAAATTGGTCATCTCTTTACAACTAAAACAAAAGAGTTACTTTGACACTTTTATATGTCAGCGCATAACAGTTTACCACTGTTATAAACCACATTTCAAAAACCCTTCTTTCACACGTCTTCCTAAAAGCAGCCACAGTTCACACTGCAGGAACTCATTGATAAGACACTTTTAAATGAATCACACTGTGCATCAACACTAACCATTTTTTCTAGCACTTACATCCTCTGTTTATACAAGTCCCTCAAATACACTAAAAAAGCATTACACCCGAGCTAAACAGATAGCTGATAAGATAAGCAACATCTCTCTCTCTCTCTCTCTCTCTCTCTCTCTCTCTCTCTCTCTCTCTCTCTCTCTCTCTCTCTCTCACGCACAAACACATGTTGGGTTTCCATGTTTAAGGAGGACTTTCCATAGACATAATGATTTTTATACTGTACAAACTGTATATTCGATCCCCTAACCTACCCATCGAAGAAAACATTCTGCGTTTTTACATTTTCAAAAAAGATCAATCTGAAAGATTTATGAGCTGTTTTCCTCATGGGGACAGAAAAATGAACCCACACGATGAAAAATTACTGGCATTACTATCTTTGTAGGGACATCCCCATAATGTACAAGGACACACACACACACACACACACACACACAATGTGTCTTACCGATCCATAACTTTTGACCGGTAGTGTATATATATATATATATAAGTGCTGTCAATCGATTAAAAAAATTAACTAATTAATCGGACTTTTTTTAGTAATCACGAATAAAGATTTAAAAAAAAAATTATATTGTAATAATTTCACATTTAACCTCCAAACTAATGTTGAAACAACATAAAGACAGAAGCCTATATTTTAAACATTTGTTTAATGGCATCTTTTATACTGATCTTTTATCATCATTAATTTCTCTGAACTTTTTTTGTTATCAATTTTAGCCATTCAACATTACAGTATAATCAAAAGCTATCAATTGTAACATTTGTTAATGTTAGGCTTTAAAAACTTAATTTAAGTGAACTTGAAACAATCTTCACATAAACCCATTACAATAAATATCACATTTACCCTATGCCCTACAATATATCAGGGCTCATTTTTTTTCTTTTGGCCCAGTTCAGATTTTTACTTGCCCTGTCAAAATGCACAAAACGAGTGATTTTCTCTTTTTCTTTTTTGATTATCCTTAATGACAGACAGTAGGAGGTCTGTCCGCTCTTTTTGCCTGTTCAAGTCGCTGTCTGAAGCGTCTTTCTGTGCGCACGAGTCGTGTGTGTGTGTGTGTCACACAGACAGGAGATTTACAGACGCGCATTTGTGTCTTATCGCGCTTGAATGGTTTAAAAAAGTATTTGCTTTTTGTCATCATAGAATGTACCGCTAGCCAAAGGATGATGGGAAAAAGCGGATGCTGCATTAATTGTGTTAAATATTTTTAACGCGTTAAACTGAAAAAATGAATTGCATGCTATATATAATATATATATATATATATATATATATCACACTATTGACTAGTTGGTATTTGGCCGACCACTGTGATCCATCCCTGTTACTGAAACAATGATTTTGGGTAAACTCAGGCAGTATTGATGTGTCTAGGGAAGGTGAACAGCACACAGGGGGGATTTCTCTGGTAATCCTGCAATATTGGCTTTGTGATTGGGGTTCAGACCTTGTAAGGCCTCCTTGGCACGTTCCAGCTCCTGCTCCTTCTCCCCCAACTGCACCTTGAGCTCGGCAGCGGACAGCGTGTCGGCCGAGCAGCCGCCGTGCGAGTCCTCCAGGTCTTTACTCAACATGTCCTTCATCTGTCTGAGGAGGTGCACCTCCTCCTGTAACTGAGCCACCTCCTCCCTCAGCAACACTATAACAAGAGAGACGGAGAGAAAGAAATCACTTAGTAACAAGTAGCTCTCAGCAAGTAGTTGTAATGCTACATATTATTTTATATTTCTATGTGGCCAGCAGGCTAAGAGGAAACAGCATAATTATGACAAACAAAGAGTGGCTGTTAAGATATTTCATTTATTTACTCGCTCTTAAACAATGCTATCTTTCATTCTTTTTAATCACAGGGAAGCAGACCGCACAATAAAAAAAGCGCCATTCAGATCTGGAGGGGGTGAGAGACGATTTCTCCACCGTTTTCAAGACTCTTTCACAGAGTCAAGGGAGCAGACACATTAGGAATGAGAGTGAAACCACAGCAACAAGAGAGGGACTCAGGCTCACTTAAAGCAAAACAGCAGCAATTGGCAATATATCAACAAATACACAAGCAAAACTGTTTAGGCATTGAGAGACAGGAGGCTGAGAGGACACAAATGTTCCAGAGCCTCTTTTAATAAGCGGAAGAGTGGTGCCTACTTTGCTTTGAATGAAAAAAAAAGCGTCCCATATCTCACCCCCGCACTGAGAGTGCCTATAAACCAGAGCAAAGCTGATTGAAGGACTTTCAAAAGCTCATGTGGCGACCTTCTGTTGTCAACATTTCAAGTCTTGTCCCACTAATGTGGCGGAAACATCATCGAGTCATGAAAGTAAGCTGAATTAACCGAGCTGCCAGTCAGGTGCGCTCTGCCTCTACTGATACGCTCAATAAGTGAATAAATTAAACGGAGGCCTTCGCTCAACGTACTCTGCATTACCAGGCAACAGCTGCAACATCAATCTTTTTCAGAGGAAACGAGGGAGCTTATCAAGTAATAGAATTCAATTAACTGTAAACTATAATGCACTAACACTGCAGCCTCGACAATAAAAGCCCAACTGGGATGAAATAAATCTACAGCACTTATCAAGAGCAATCAATACAATTAATGAGGTATTTTGCTTGGAGTGCAACATGGTAATGCAAAATACATCCCGCCATGCATGTCATATATATATAACTTTTAAACACTTCTTACCTAATTCAATTATTATGTAAGATATAATAATAATGAAAGTTGAATTAAATTTAAGGGTCTAAATACGAAATATCGATTTAACCTACTAAATTTAGCATATACGTATGCAGTATTTTATTTAGTATACTGAATAATTATGTAATATTTATTTAGTACAATCTGAGAAAATATAAATATATGCACGTTTTCTGCCGTTTTTATGAAAGTAAATTTAAGACCTTTTTAAGACCTTTTCAAGACTCAAATTGAAGGAAAATCAATACATCAGTATGTATGTTCTCTAGATGTAAATGTCTAGGGTGGAACACAATGAGTTCTATTAGCAACATTTTGGCGTATGAAAACAAAACTTTCAACAGATATCTACTTTTTAATTAATTATACAAATAAAAAGTAGCTTGAATCCCTCTGCTCCCAACCACTAGAACATGGAAATATATTTTACTGTACTTTCTGATCACACCGCAAAAAAAAGGGGATATTCTTCCTCAGTATGTTTGTCTAAAGATTCTTAAATCAAGATATATTTACTTGAGATGCAAAATATTAAGTCTTAATCATAAAATCATAAAACGAGTTTATGATTAAAACAAGAACAAATATCTGCCAATGGGCTCAGATAAATCAACTTAATCCAAAGGCAAGTTTTCATTACTCATTTACATATATTTGCTCTTGTTTTAATCATAAACTCACCTAAAAAAAAATTCAAGACCTCATTTGACATTTGGATCTCAAGTAAATGGATCAAAGATGTTTAGATATTTGTATTGAAAAACAGGAAAAAAATACTGAGGAAGATTATTTTATTTGATTTTTTTTGCAATGCATGCAACGTTTGATGCCATGCCTTTATAAATGTAAGACTTTGTGCTCTGATTGAAGACCTTTTTAAGACCTTAATTTGTGTAAGGGTGAATTAAGACTTTTTAAGACCCATAGAAACCCTGTATATATACTAAAGACTATATATTTCACTTTTAAACACTTCCTACCTATATTTAATAGAGCAAATTAATCATCAAAGATATATTTATTTTGAAAGTTGTATTCAATCTGAGGGTGCATGTGCCAGCTGACGTGGCATCCCGCCATGCGTGCAGTAACCGCTGGTACCTCAACTACACTTTAATGTGACATGACATCACTCGATGAGAGCACTTCCAGATAAAACTGACAATTAATTCACTTCAACCAGCTAAGGCGCAGTTCGATAGCGGCGGATGTTTAAAATGATCCCACTCTTAAGCCGTGAACGTGCGAGACAGAGAGGGGGCCGGCCGCGAGTCCAGATAGCACCAGGTGCTCGAGGCATTTCTTCAGCCTGCCGTTGACAAGGTGAGCGTCTGCAGCGCGACTGATAAGACAGAGACAGGGACAGCCCATTGGTCAATGTCTGCACCCACCAGCAGGCAGAGACAAGACACTGGGTTTCAACATGGCACAGGAAGCTTCCTTTTCCTGGAAAGTGTCATCTTTCATGCTGCCGCGTTGGAGCCCAAAGCCACTTATTCATTTGTTTAACTCGGCAGAGACTTATTTGGGGCAGTGGGTCCAGCTGTTGTCCCACTCTGAGCTCCAGCACATACACAAAGCTTTGGCTTATGACCAGGATTTGTATGAGAACTATGTGGCTTCTGCGCTCATGCAGCAGATCAGCTGGTCTGTGCCAAACTCCTAAATGCAAAGTATGAATCATAAAATTACACAGAGTCCGTGATCCTCCATGTTAAGGCTCAGATTTTGCAGCAAACACACACCATGCAGCGTCAGTCTATAAAAATGTAAAATTCATGGGATAAACAAAGGTTCTCTCAATAACAAACAACATACTAATCATTGAGTGAATCAACGCTGACCTCTGAAATACACAAACAAGACACCATTCAGTTCAGTTTTACATTATTATTACAGTGTCCCCGAGATACAAACAAACCAGCAGATCATAACACTTCTTGAGGAAATATAAGAGGTTCAAAAACAAGTCAATATTGCATCAGTGTTGGAAAAACGTCAGTTTAAAAACCACTTAATTACTTAATTACACTGCACCTTTTGACCAGAAATTACCATTGAAATGATTTTTATAAATACCAGTATGTTATCTTAAAGCTTCCGTTAATCAGTGTTGTTAAAGAGATAATTCACCCAACAATGAAAATTCTGTCATTAATTACTCACCCTCATGTCAACCCGTAAAACGTTCGTTCATCTTCGGAACACAAATGAAGATCTTTTTGATGAAATCTGAGCTTTCTGTCCCTCCATTGGCAACTATGCAACTGACACTTCGACACTTCAAAAAGGTCATAAAGAGATAGTAAAACTAATCCATATGAATCGAGTGTTTTAGTCTAAAATTTTCTGACGAGACATTATCACTTTATATGATGAACAGATTGAATTTAGGCTTTTATTCACATATAAAAACATTCATAAACCCACACATCAGTTGTGGTAAAGGGAAGCTCAATCATGTTCGCTTGACATGCGAGAAACAATGAGGTTCATTCTCGTGTTACGCAGCACGGTTAAGCTTCCACAAGAACCAATGAGATTTGTTCTGGTGTTACACAGCATGATTGAGCTTCCACAAGAACCAATGAGGTTTGTTCTCAGACGTCAAGCAGGTTCGGTTGAGCTTCTGTTTATGTTCACTGATCAGTGTTTATATGTGAATAAAAGCCTAAATTCAATCTGTTCATCATATAAAGCGATCGAATCTCTTCAGAAAATTTAGACTAAATCGCTCAATTCATATGGATTAGTTTTACGATCTCTATGAACTTTTTAAAGCAGCAAAGTGGTAGTTGTGTAGCTGTCAATGAAGGGACAGAAATCTCTAAGATTTCATTTAAAACATCTTCATTTGTGTTCCGAAGATGAACAAAAGTCTTATAGTTTGGAACATCGTGAGGGTGAGTAATTAATGACAGAAGTTTTATTTTTTGGGTGAACTAATGCTTTAACTAAAACTATTAAAAATTGTTTTCGGTAATTGAAATTTAAAGCACAGTTTACACAAATTTACACAATTTACACAAAATTACTAAAACCTAAAATATATATATTTTTAAATAAAACAAAAACTGAAAATATAAAAATATAAGTTAATTAATTAATACACTATCATTATATTCTGTATAATATACTATATAATAGCACTATAATAAATGAGATGCAAGATGGCAGCAGTTGCATTTGTATGAATTGAGAGAGTGTGAGCATGGTGTGATACGAGGGATAAAAGTAGTGCCAGTTTTAGTTACCCAGATGAAAAGACTAATGTACAGCGCTGACATGGACGACAGAGAATATTCGGAAATATCTGACTGCTGAATTAATCCATCAGAATCAAGTATTTCAGAGAGTATTTATGTAATAAAATATATTAATTCATTATCAATCCAAGTATTATCTGGCATCCTAATCTATATAATTATTCTGCTTTATTCAGGACCAAGTTGTAATAAGAGTTCATAGTCTGTTTGAAGAGGCTGATGAGTCTTCCCTCATAGAGTTGCATGAAATCTCATCAGAACTTCATGAAAGGAGAGAGTATCTGAGTCTTTATGCTGTGAGAAATGAGGCAGATACACACAAAAGCAATCAGGCCCCTAATTCCCCAAAATGCAGTTCAATCGATTCACACTGATGTCATGTCTCCATCTCACTTATCATCTCAAAAGCCAAACTAACCATGAGCTTCAGTGTGTGGATAAATCAAAGCAAAACTGAGCCGTCAAAAAACTAGCTATGGATGAGTCTATATATAAAGCTTTATATTTGTAAAATAATTTTCTAGAATTAATTTCTGCCAAGTCTGTTATTCAAACTCGAATCAAGTAAGTCGATACGAAGCACCAAACACTTGTTTAACACTTATTCTATCACATTCATAAAAGAGGAAGATTACTTAATTTAATAGGCTAGTAAAATCTCAATCACATTGACG